TTCCATGGTGATAAAATAAGACAGAGCAAACTGGTATGCAGTAAACTTGTTCTTTAGTTTCCAACCAGAATTCTCTCTTAGAATACAAGTGATGAAATTTTACAAAAGTCAGCTAGGCTTCCCGAATCCGTTCCGAGATCTTGCCAGACGACAGTTTAGTAGAACTGATGAGGCTTTCAAGATAAATGAAGTCGTTGTGGCATTCACCTACTTCGCTTCATACCCTAAAATAGACGGGCTGACTCAGATCAGTTCCGAAGCAGGATTTTACATTTATTTGGAGGGAATCTTATCCTAATCATTGTTTCTTAATGCCGTTCGAAAACTTTCTCAGTGTCTTCATTCAAAGACAGCGTTTATGTTTACGAAAAAGTTAAATAAAGATAGACAAATCGGATAACCTCAAAGGACACATTTTACAGTTAACAATTCTTCATATGATCTGACCTTATCACTAGTTTTCATGTGGAGATCCTGTACAAAGTTAATGTACTTCGATAGTACACTGTTCAGTGACAAACACTTCTATAAAACCTATCGATCAACAATTCATTTGATTGCACACTTTTGTATTTCACCGTTGCTCATATTAATGAGTATAGCTGAATAATCATTGTTTTAGTGTGTACATTCTGGTGAGATTGCCTCAATAATACTTTTAATTATAAGTTTGAATAAAACTGGATTATGGTGTAGCAATAGAATTTATAAACCTCTTACTGTCCTATTTGTAACTCTTCAACTGTATGTATTTTCCACATTGAATTTCAAGCCCAATACTTATTTCTGCAAACACCAACTCCTTACTCACTAAGTTATGGAATCCATATAGGCACTAAATTGTCTAACTGCTAGTTACAATACAGCTTGACCGAAAATTGTGAATAATTGAGAGGATGAACATTATTTCATTGATCCTGATTAGTTGTGATCCTTTAAATCAACAACGGGAAAATACAAATAACTTCATACCTGTTAGACAATTTGATAAGCATCATAATTTAGTAAGTTATTGGATAAGAGGGCATTCGAAGTAATAAATACCAGGCTTCAATCCCAGTTTGAACATCAACTTTGGACTGCAACTACATTTGGGGGATAAGTCTCAGACAAAACTAAATTCACAGCTTAGATTCAACTGCTTACAATGATCTGAATTTAAGAAATAGATTGTAACCTAATGTAATTATTGTCTCGCTAAAACAGTTCAAAGAAATATTTCATTTTATACACGAATTTCTTACTTTATCCGTAATAAAAATAAAACCATGATTGTACTTATGTGATGTGTTCTACTGATATCGACAGATATAAGTAGTATGTAACATCAATCGAAAGTGAAATGCCTGGAGGTAGAAGCTTAAGAAGATCGAAGAAACGAGAACAGGGAGAATTCGTGTGGAAACAAAGGAACAATCAAACCTGAAACTATTGATTGACATTATGCTAATGAAGTACTTACTGTATGGTTCTCAGATTTTATTAAGTGATTCTGTAATTTTGAGTTCAATTACGTTTGGTTGTCCCCACTGGTGTTCTCGTTTATCACATTTCAATTGGAATTCTAAGTAAGGGTCATTTCATTTTTAAGATATTTTGAATATATGGTCAAAGATGTTAATAATATCTTATAGCACAAATTGTTTAGCCTTTGTTTCGATTTTATATCCAAGTTTGAGTTAAGAGCAACCAGAAGTGTGTTTAACAACAATTTGAGTCAAGGTTTGAAACTAAGAATCTATCGATCTTATTCTAGGACCTATAAATCCCATGTTTGATCGAATATGAAGTCTTGAGTGCACATTACTAAAAGGTCTCATCTGTTATTATTGAAACGAGGTTTCCGAATTGTTTTCCAGCTGATGTCAGTTCATTGTGACAAATTACCTCAAATTCAACCCTCAACCTTGATTATTGGGTACTTTTAGCCAAGTGGTTTGATATTGTTAAAGCGTTCTTTGTTATGTAGAATTAAAAGTATCGATAAAACATTAAAATTGATGGTACATAGGTCTTCATATGATGAGGAAGAATTAAGTCTAACAGTTGTAGTTTAATTCATAAGGGAACAAGTAGTCAACAAAGCTGATATCCTCCAATCATTAACCACACTTAATCATATTATTTTCCCGTCAATAGTTTGTATATAAGTATGTTATTTTATGGGCTAGAAGACCTATTCATCTAGCTAACGATCTTGTTTTTGATATTAACTCCTTCGGGATTTGAGTTAATAATACGATCTCATGAACAGCTATCACTTAACCAAATCGTATCATTGCGATTCATTCGTCAGTTAGTAGTCTATCTGTTCACATTTCAACAATCCAAAACTCATTCGTTTGTGAAGTACTCTCCATTTTAAAATACTTGACTTCAAAAGATTCACATCAATAACCTTTTATGTTTATCACAACACTTATTTTGTTAATAAACGTAATATATAGCCTTATTATTATGATCAGTATTAATAATTACAACTGATATCAAACTTAAATTCATGAGTCAGTTATATATAGACCGCCATGGAAGACTTGGAAGCATTGGACGGCGGTCTCGTTCTAGTATGGGACTCCTCGACAGTGCGTATCCACAATCCTGCTCATGGGATTAGAACCCAGGACCTATCGGTCCCGCGCGCGAACACGAGTTAGGATTTAAACACTTACCGTAAGTGAGAGATATTCATAGTTGAATTTATGCCAAATTTTTGTTTAAAAATTAGTTTTTTTTTGTTAAAGATATTAATAAAAGTGTTAATCACAAGATATCAATTTAAATTTGGTACGATTACAATGGTAAGTGATATTAGAATTTTCACTGGTTGGAATAATGAGTCAATTGAAGCTAAACCACCACTGGACGGCCGTTCCGTCCTAGTATGGGACTCCATACACCATTGTCTTCAGTGAGTTGATATCTCACAACCGACCTGGTTGAACTCCACGGGTAACGGCTTCTCACTAGAACTCCAGGAGTGACTTCAAGAGATAAACCTAGTATGGGACTCCTCAGCAGTGCGCATCCACGATCGCACCCCCGGCTCAGTGGTCTAGTTGGTTAAGCGCCTGGCGCGAGACTGATAGGTTCTAGGTTCGAATCTCGCAGGGGGAGGGATCGTGGATGCTGCTGAGGAGTCCCATCCTAGGACAAAACGGCCGTCCAGTGCATCCAGGTTTTCCATGGTGATTTAGCTTCAATTGACTCATGATTTCAGCCAGTGAAATTTCTAAAACCTCCACAAAACCCATTCTGATATTAGAATTGTTTCCTTCCACTGCTAAGATACTTGTAATTGAATAATATGCAATGAAGCAATTTATTAACTTGTACAGTTTGAACTTATGAAGTTGAGTTCTTGAAGGTAATTGATAGCAAACCCTGCGACTAGATGTCATATTATTTAGCACTGATTTATTAAGGCTCACCTGTAGTCTTCAAGGCACCAACATTCCATGTTGATTTAAATCCACAATACTAAGATATACAATCCAAGAAATCATCATTGAATTATTCGGTCCACTACTTACTTAATGAAGGACCGAGATATTTACACTGATTGGTCAATGAGTATCGATTAATATCATGTTTGTTCTATCCTTAGTGCAAACTTTGGGGCTTTTTCAAGTCGTATTTATAGGTCACTTATTTCAAACGTTATATTTGTAGATGATTTGAATCAGCATATTAAAATGTAATTTAGAAAATATTTAAAATAAGCAATAGTAAGTTGTCAATCGTAAATGTCAAGTCTGAATGATAACTAAGACAGATTCAATGTTATGGATTGTCTTAAGTAACGATTAAAAATCATGCAACACTGGATAATTATTTCATTTTAGTATGGGCTTTATGAGTAGTCTGTAACCTTAACCATATCAGGGATCTGAAATAAGGACTGCAAGTTACATCATAAACAAATTTACTTTATATCACTAAACTGGTAAATAATATCAACAGTTGAGATCATGAGTCATTTGAAGCTGGACCACCATGGAGAACCTGGAAGCACTGGACGGCCGTTTCGTCCTATTATGGGACTCCTCGGTAGGGCGCATCCACGATCACGCCTCGCGGGATTCAAACCCAGGACCTACTGGTCTCGCGCCGAGCGCTTAACCAACCAGACGTTTACGATTTTAACTTCAATCAATTCATGGCTTGATGTAAGTAATTAATCGGAGTCAACCATACAGCTCTACTGGCCAGGCATGTTTTCAGCGTATATCCACATAAACAGAAGCAAAATTGCTAGTCAGTGAGCATCCATTTGAATGAGCTCCTTTTTGTAGTGTAGGTCATGGAACATCAAGCTACAGTTCATTGACTACTCAATCGCTAATAACACATAAAGCTATCGTTTTTGTCTGTAGAATTATCATATAAAGTATCAGAGACGTTGAAACCATAGATATTCCCCGATCTCTAGAATCGATAGGGTCTTTAGTCTCCCTGATGCTGCTCTCAACATCTTAAGGAATTGTTGTATGGATGCTTCTTAAAGTTTTTTTTACTACAGATTTAATTTTGTTTAGACAAGCCCCTCTATAAACAGAAGTTCTTGAACTGTAATTTATAATTATCTTGATGTAGTCCCAGGTCATTACTAACATGATTTAAAAACAGCACAATCCACACAAGAATCAACATTCCTATAATTGTGTTTGAATACTCTTGTTATAAAAATCATTATTGACATTCTAATCAAAGATGGATGGTGGCTAGCATTGGGAACCAGGATGTGCGTTTCGTCCTATTTAGGACTTTGTAGCTGGATGTACCTACATACTAGAGTTGATATTCACTCCAGCACTCGAACCCAGTATCGTTCTCTTCAAACGTCATCCTATTATGCACTATAGTTGTTCAATGGCGGGGAGGGGAGGAAACTTTTAATCCATTGATGTTTAAGACTACAGTCGATCAATCTCTTATTGACATAATATCAGCGATAATACTAGCTGATTATTAAGATTACAAAGAATATATATATAACTTACCATATGTACTAATGTAACGAATGCTTGTCTAACATGAAGACCAGTTTTTGCACTAGTTTCCAAATATACACAATTAATACTTTTAGCATATTCTTCAGCTTTTTGCATAGATATAGCACGTGCTGGCTACAATAAGAATGATTATTTTGTTTTTAGAAAGAATAAACAGAATTGAATAAATACCTACTAAATCATTTTTATTACCAATAATGACTTTAACTAATCTACTACCAGAATATTGTTCAATCATTTTAACCCATGTGTTTAATTCTTCAAAACTTTTTTGACAACCAACATCATAAACTGAAAAAGAAAAAAAAATAGTTAAGGTCGATTGTTACTTTGTCATGGTCAAAAAAAGTGATGAATGTTTATGGTGAGATCTATAATTTATGAATGATCTTTAAGTGATACCAAAATGAGTTTACCCCCCTCGCAAATGCCCTGGTACAGACGAGAACGGGGAGAATCAGCTCTCCTTCTCCAAATGCTCTCACATGGTCACATGCATACAACCACTGACACAGAAGTCCTACTCACTACCTTCTCGACTCAAGGGTGTTGTTTACAAAGTTGAAAGGAGGAAAAGCGAATGTCCGGCGCTTTAACCGGGTTGGTGGACACGGCAATTTCACCTAGGAAAGTTGGAAAACCCTCATTCCAAACCAATGGTGCACATGGGCTGGCCCCAGTATTTTAAGAGAACAAATGGCGTATGAACCAATTGTTGGTCACCAGCTACCATGTGACTGCATCTCCTAATGTCATGATACTATTCAATCAAATAAGTGAGTGAATTTCGCGCCAAAATCCAATACCCTCTTATCTTAAATTTGATTGGTTCATTCATACATTATAATCTAATCATATTTTTTGTTACCTTTCTATACTTACCTACTAAAGCACCTTGTGCATGACGAAAATATGATGGAGACATATGATTTTTAAATCTTTCTGTACCAGCTGTATCCTTAATTGTATTTAATTGAATACAACGGAAGAATGTATTTACCCAAATGTAAAGTTTAATTAATTCACCATTCAATCTCATTTCATATAATTTTAAATCGGTACCAATTGTAGAGACTGGTTCATTTTCATCAGATCCTTTAGTGAATGATTTTAATAAACTAAACAATTAATAAGTAGTATTTATAAGTAGTATGAATTGAAAAGATAAACAAACCTTGATTTGCCAACATTTGAATTACCCACCAAAATAATTTTAATTCGTTTACTTATATTATTACATTCATTAGTACCATCTAAATCAACAACGTTTGATTCCATTCTATGCTAAAATATAAATAAAATAATGATTGATAAATACTTTAAGAATATACACTTGTATGAATGAAGAATATTCTTTTCAATAATTTCTCATCAGGTTCCACAATTAGAAATCCAAATTCATGCAGGTAAACTACAAGTCATGTTCTCCACACGACCAATAATCCCTCCGAGGTTGAAAGATAAATTGTCTAGACTAGTCACATTTTTCTGTATCTATCAATTCAACGGCTCTTGTGGAGCAAGTTATATTTGCAGATGTTCTAGTAATTTATACATTCAGGTTTGTGAGGACCTCCCCATGTGGTTAAGCAAAGGTGTAGTCAAAACGGTTAACAGCTCCATTTGAAACGATCTAGTTCAGATAGGACATACAGTCAACATGGAGCAATTTTTTGCAATCATCTATCGTGTTAACAGCAGTCTACCTAATTCCGTCAGACTGCGAATCCTACAGACGGCTGAAGTAATTGCTATTCCGATCAGAAATCCAGAGCTTTACATCTGAAAGAAATATGTTCAGCCACTCCTTTTATCCTGGCCAACTTTGGCGCCAACCAGTTAATAATCAATTTCATAATATGGTGACGTAATTTGATTAATGTTCATTTTATGTCCCAAACTTATCTTACTATTATTACTGTTACTATTATTATTATCATTACACTTGATAACCTTTTTGAGGAATTCATTCAGTATCCACCTCTAAATCTACTATATCTAACCTAATTCATATTATTCTACATATTACGTAATCTCTGATTTCTATTCCATTACTGTCTCTCCCATCCCATGTTGACCATATTTATTCTGATCATTTATCGCACAATTTCATTTCACTTATAAACTGATTCAAATTAACAGCTTCATATTGGTCAACCCCAACATTAACGATCTGATTTGATAACAAACAACAATTCTTAATTTCACTGGTTGAAATCATGAGTCAATTGAAGATAGACCACCATGGAATACCTGGAATCACTGGACGGCCGTTTTGTCCTAGTATGGGACTCCTTAACAGTGCGCACAGTTGGATGCCTGATCAGTGTTCTAGTTGGTTAAGCTCCTGGCACAAGACTGATAGGTCCTGGGTTCGGATCTCGCCGGGTGCGGGATCATGGATGCGCACTGCTGAGGAGTCTCATATTAGGATAAAACGGCCGTCCAGTGCTTCCAGGTATTCCATGGTGGTCTAACTTCAATTGACTCATGATTTCAACCAGTGAAATTTCTAAATTCTCCACAAAACTCTTTCTGATAATTCTTAATTTACATATTACAATTTCCAAATGATGTACTCTGCCTTAAATCTGGCCAATTTTATGGATTATTAATTTGTATTTGTAATTGTAGAATACCTGATGAGAAATTATTGAAAAGAATATTCTTTGTTCATACAATTGTGTTATAATATAATGGGAACTTTAAGAATAGGAAAGCCATGAAAATCTTACTACTGTAATTCTACTCTTACTCTTACCTTTTGAATAAGTTTGTAGCTATATGGATTTAGTAATTCAGGGGATAATAAGATGAAATGAGAGCATTGGATTCAAATAGTAGTCACAATCCATCTATTATATATAACTAATGATAAAGTAGTTATGTTAGAGGTAATCTGCGCAAGATGTATATATCCATTCAAATTCATAGAAAAAAAGTAGTAAAACGACTTCATAGGATGAGTGATTACGTACTTACTTGCCTGTTACCTCTTGAAAAAGAACATGGGTCATCAACTAGCACTTTCTATCAAACCCTGTCCTGAGCAAAACTTTCTAATTGTTTCCAGTTGCTATTCATTCTTTTCATGTCTGATTGATTGAGACAAGTCAGAAGTGATGCCTAACTGACGCTATACTCAATTTTACCGATATCAACCAACAAGAAGTGAGTCTCTTTAACTTAGAAATATTTCACAACTAAGGTAGTGAAATCTGTTAAAACATAGGATTTGTAGTTAGTCTAACAGTTTCTCAAGAAACATTACCACATGTACACTGATATCATTGTGCCAATAACCTCATTTTATTGTGTGCTGAAATATTCACCTTGAAGGTTGTCCCGTCAATCCTTCTCATGACCATGAGTCTTTCTAGAAACAACTTCAGATTATATGTTAAATCTTTGCTACTGAATAGGACTAAGAGTTATCATGAAGAAGTTGCGAGGCAAAAACAATATGAGGAATTCATGAAGAAAAACCACTATCAAGTTTAACACTGTCACATTACCAAATCAACTATTATTCAGTGAATTACTAACAACGTGATTTGTCAGATAACTGACTGTGTGACAAACTGAGCAGAATCAAAGCTCACTGATTTACATGTTATGTACAATCTACATAGAAGGAAGTCGACATTCGATATGTAACAATGACACTGTCATTGCCAGTCTGATGAAGACGGAAAGTAATTTTTCTCAATAGTTTCGAACGTTTATACGAAGTATAGAAGTGTATTTCCATTGCCCTTTCCACATAATGTGAGATAAATTTATTTGGTTTCAAATTATGTGGCAAGAGTAGGAATTAGTTCCGTAATCCTCATTGACTCATCCCTATATTATAGTGTGAGTATAGAAGATTTGTAGTTATTGTTCATCTAAAAGACAGTGTTTCTCAAGTGTAATTTCAACCAATTCGCTTCCTTTATTGGACTCATCAGTACTATCAACCTCTCTCTTAATTTTACCATCAAACAGAGACATTTTAAATCAATAGTCGATTAAAAGTGGTTGAGAATGATGAATTAATATCTCATGTCTGAAGTGAGTCAATTCACTACATAACACGAACATCATCCATTGCTAGTGGCAGTATTCATTTCACTGCATACATGATTAAATTTCATCCGTCACGACTTCACACTAAAATTCCTACTATCTTGCACAAACGCTCAATCCAGAAATGAAGCGAAACATTTATCACCAAACCTTCTATACTCGTCTATTGTGTGGTTAAATATCTGAGTTACAGAATTCGGTGGATTTGTTGTGAGGATAGTACAGATGAGGAACTGAACAGATCAAGGTTGATGACTGAACAGAATAGATATCTTAGTAATTTCGTCCGTTTGTCAGACATCACGAATAATAATCTCCTGTGTTAGAGAACAACAAAGAAGCATGCATTTGAGGCGGAAAGTAGGAAGAGAAGATGGGAGTGGATAGGTCAGGCTTCAGGAAAATCGTCATGTAAGTCTCAAAGTAAGCCTTAATATTGAATTGCCAATGCAAGAGGAAAATAAGTAGATTAAGTAAAACCTTGTGTTGAGAATCGGAGGCAGCGATTAAAAGAATGAATAGTAATTGGCAAGAACAGGCAATGAAATCTCTAGATAGTTTTGTTTTGTGAGTAGGGACCTATGTTCCACGAGGTTTAACAGGATTAACCAACTGAGTGAATAACTTCATAATGCAATACGTAACTGTACCGAAAACTATGACATGAACGTCCGCAGCTGAAACGAAAACTCTGCACTTAAGACTTAATTTCAAATGTGATATAGTGAGTGAGATTTTAACATATTGTATAAACAGATTTATTAAGACGACATTCAATGCCTCTAAATTCCACACAGTGCCTTCAGTAAAACCATTTTGACCCAGCAATTTAAGAATATGATACCAATGATGCATTCATCTAAGTGTGTTTATGAATTTAATTGTTCATGTGCAGCCAATTACAGTAGCCCTACTCAAAGTTTCTTATACTTATTCACTCTCAAACACTTGATAGCATAGTTAGAAAGAGTAAACACTAAATCTATTAACCGTTCCATTCTTCCTAAACTAATTAATCATAAACAAAACATTAGAGTTGAAAAATTCTTTCACATTTATCCATCAAGTTCCTAGCAATCTATTGAAAAGGCACAATCTTAAACTTACTCTACATAACTGAAGCAATTTATATTAATTAGAGAAAAGCTAACTTTTGTATACAATAAAAAGATACAAACAATCTGTTTGTTTACTTTGATCTGGATTAGAGACGTTTCATTCTTAGTTCCAAGTTTGTTCATTCTCCTTCATTATGATTTGCACTGTTTTCCAAGACGTTTGCTTTTTTGAAATTGAATTGCATATCCTTGTTTCTTACTTTACATGATATGTTTACCAGTTATTAATTTTAATACCATTATTATTATTATTATTATTATTATTATTATTATTATTATTATTATCCATAACAGCTACAGTATAATTTTAATGTACTGATATAGTAACTTTAATCAGAAAGAGGCTTTGTCGAGATTTTAGTAATTTAATAGTTGAATTCATGAGTCAATTAAAGCTAGATCCCAATGAGAAATCTGGAATCACTAGACGGCTTCACGAGATTCGAACCCAGGACCTATCGGTCTCGCGTACGAACGCGTGACCTCTAAACCACACAACGGTGGTCTAGCTTCAAATAACTGATGAATTCAACCATTAAATTTAAATATCAGTTAGAAATAAATAGTGATGAATTCACTTGGTGTTGTTTGCTTGTGTCTTTGGATTGTTGTTTAGGACTTCAATTGATCAGTCTCTTGTTAGAATATGTGAATCTTTTGCGGACTGCCTCGATATGGCTTTGAGTCACATATACTAACAAAAGACTGATTAATTGAAGTCCTAAACAACAGTCGAAAGATACGAATAAACAACATCAAGTGAATTTAAACTTCACCTCATTACACCAACTCGTGGCTATCAGGACTCAGTAGTTAGGTAGATAACGTAATGATGTTTGATACGACCGATTTTGGGTTCGAGTCCCGAACTGAATATTAACTGTGGGATATATGTAGATCCAGTTGACGAAGCTCAAATAGGACGAAACGCGCATCCTGCATTCCATTATTATTCATGAATTACAAATCATCGAAAACCGAATTGAAGAAAACAAAAAAAAACATTTAACTGTGAACAATGTAAATTACTTACTTTCTTGATTGAATCCAACTATTCAATAGAATGATCTTATAAGTTTTTCAAAGAATCATACATAAATTCTGGAACATATATAGATCATATACATATGCATAAAAAAGAAGTTTACACTGATATTGCAAAACTGTAATTAAACATTTCCATTGTTATATATATATATATATATACATGTATATATGTATATCCATAGTAATAGTGTTAATGGATTTCATGTGACTTAATACCATGAATAATCACTAATCTAATCATAAACAATATTAAGAATACATTCTTATTCTTGTATTAATTACTGTCGATCATTTAAAAGAATTCAATTTGTTTTCAAGAGAATTGAAAGAAGAAAATGAGTGTTTTTTTTCTTTTTTTTCCTTTTTGTTGTTGTTGTCGTTACTGGTGATCGACTGATTGATTGATTCATGTCGAGTTCTTGTTCTCTTTTTTTTCTTCTTTCTTTATTTATTTAGATTTTCTATCTATGAAATCTGATGTTTTCTAGCTATAATTATATATATATATATATATATATATATATATATATATATATATATAGCTTTTTCGTTAGTTTTGAATGATCAATAATGAAGTGTTTACTTGATAAGTTTATAGTCATTGAATACTTTAATGATACTTTATGGTTCCTTTTTTAAAGTTAATTGATTGAAAACTCTAAATAGTGATTTTATATTATTTAATGATTATCACCGGGTAAGTAATAGTGAGGTTAGACGCCAGAGTATTAGGGAATGATGATAAATCAATTGTGAATTTTCATCGACTGAGATGGTTGGGCTACGTGTTACGTATGCCTGAACACCGATTACCACGACGTGCAATGCTAACCGGTGTTGTAGATGGTTGGAAGAAAGTTAGGGGTGGCCAAACCAAAACGTGGCATCAGTCCACGAAGTCACTAACTTCTAGTCTGAGTCATATTGGTAGATGCAGACTACTTGGTTGGGGTCCGCGTAACTTTCGTAACCGATGGTTGGAGACTCTTGGTGACATGGCTCAGAATCTATCACAATGGGGTAGGTGTATGCACTGTCTGTCTTCCTCTAAACTAAAAGATTAAAATTGCTTCATATCTTCCTTTCTACGAACTAATTCTTTCCTCCTGTACTACATCTTTATATGCAATCTTTCTTTGATATATTACCACCTCTGAATTAACTAATTCTATGAATCCGGTGTCCATCTTGTTGTTTTAATGAGGTGAGGCAACTTGGACCGATGCATATATGTGCCTGGTCCATACGTTGTAGCTGACTGACTGACTGACTGACATTACTGATGGAAATGATGCTTATATTCTGAGAGAGGTTTTATGGATATTATAATAATTTAATAGTTGAATTCATGAGTCAATTGAAGCTAGACCATCGTTGAATGTCAGCTCAGTATTCTAGAGGTTGTATTTGTGAGTGAAACCGATTGATCTTGTGTTCGAATCTTTTGAGGTGAGATCGTGGACGTTCACTGCTGATGAATCCCACAGCAGGACGAAACGGTCGTCAGATGCTTTCAAATTTTCTATAGTGGTCTAGCTTTAGTTGTTTCATGAATTTAACTATTAAATTAAGAAATTGATGTTGTTTATTGTATCCAGTGTTTTGTTTAGAGTTTGTTATCACCATTGTTATTCATAAATTCAAATAGGTTTTTATTAATTTATTCAACCTAGCGTTAGATATTGTTAGTTGAACTAGTGACCCACTTATTATTAAGACCAATGAAGTTGTTACTGAATGAATTTTTGAGGTATAAATATAATCTTGGTTAGCATAAAACGTTTTGTACATACTACAGACTTCTCTTTACTCATAGGGTAATTAAAAGAAGTTATACAGTAAGTGATATGACCCTTGAACAAACACGAGAAGTTTTTTTATCAGATTGAACATAAAGAGAGGAAAATTTTGTAGAAAAATATGTTTACCTTACTTTGATGAACGTTATAACCGTAATGATAATAGTGGAATGGACTTATATTTTATGTAAACATTCCAAAAAATAGTGTCTCAACAATCGCTAACTATCTATTTATCAGTATAGAGTTGTGGAGATTATTAAGTTTTTGATTGAGATCATAAACTGACTGATGTTAGACTACCATTGAAAACTTGGAAGAAACGGCCATCCAGTGCTTCAAGGTATTCAATGGTGGTCTCACATCAACCAGTTCATGATGTCAATCAAAAACTATATATTTATCGGTTCTGTTGACATGATTAATACATATAACTTTAATTTAACTGGATTTTCATTTTCTTCAGTTAGGTGAGGAAGAGTGACTGGTTAGATTTATAATTTATGGATGACCTTTAAGTGACGCTAAATCTTGATAACATCGTTAGCGCTTACTTTATGTAAAAGTCTAAATTGTCCAGAATGATAATAAAAGTTTAGCAATGAACCTAACAACACTAAAATCATCCGTCCAAGCTATAAAAAAAGAATTTCTATCCGTGATTTAAAACACATGATATTTATATCATGAACTCAGTAAAAGTATCATTGTTGAAGTCTAGATAACTTTAATGTCAACATATATTACATCTAATTTATATTAGTTTCAGAAGGGGTTTTGTGGATATTATGGTAGTTTTTAATAGTTAAGATCATGAGTTAACTGAAGCTAAATCACCATGGAAAACCTGGAAGCACTGGACGGCCGTTTAGTCCTAGTATGGGACTCCTCAGCAGTGCGCATACACGGTCCCTCACCCGGCGAGATCCGAACCCCGGACCTATCAGTCTCGCGACAGGCGTCGAACCAACTAGACCACTGAGCCGGCATCCAACGGTGCTAATGTCTAACTTCAACCAATCTACGAAATCGCGCCATCGTGAGATATCAACTCATTGAAGACAATGGTGAACGGTGGTGCAACTTCGTGGATTGGTTGAAGTTAGACAATGACACCGTTGGATGTCGTTTGGCTCAGTGGTCTAATGGTTAAGCGCTCGACAGCGAAACGAATAGGTCCTGTGTTCAAATCTCGCGGGGAGCGGGATCGTGGATGCTCACTGCTGAGAAGCCCCATACAAGGACAAAACGGCCGTCCAGTGCTTCCAGGTTTTCCATGGTAGTCTAGCTTCAATTGACTCATGATATCAATAAGAATAGTTACTAATCAATAAATAAGATGGAACACATTTCAGTCTTGCTATTATTGCACAATTATCTATCATTTTCAGTGAGTATATTACCCTAGACTTCTATACGGTTGATCATAACTAATCTGTCCTTATATAATAGATGGATTGAATCCAATAGCTAATTTCTAGTCTAGTTCACATGTAATAAAATCGACATAAGTAGTTTCGTCATTATAAATAAATATAAGTATATATGTATATATCGAACTTGATAAATGTCGAAATGTATGTCTTTCATAAATTATTATTATTATTATTATTAATGGCTTTATATGACTTTATAATGGATTCATTATAATAGCTAGTTAACATACATAGAATGAAAACATACTTTCATTATCTTAGTGTTCTTCTTTAAAATACCCCATAGATTTTTCTGAAAGTAGAACCATTCATTATGAGAAAACCAACTAGTTATTTTATTAGAATTATATACATACATGGCTATATATAAACTATGCTATGAATACACCCAAATATGTCAGTTAAAAGTTGCCTTGATGAGTAAGTAGGTTATAAATTTGTTTAATAGTTTATAAAATGTATCAAAATCTATATAAAAGTTATATTTTAATTGAAATAAGAAGAAAGGAATGTGATTGTTAGATCATACTGTGTTGTGGGTTACTTATATCTAGATAAGTAGTATATAATGGTGGTCAGGTATAGAATGTATTTCAGTAGAAGATCGAAAAGGAAAGAATGGGAATGGAATGCAGTTGGTATGAAAATGCAGGAACAATGAAATTTGAGACAATGGACTGATATGCACAATCGAACAGTCAAATTTGAGACGATGGATTAATATTTCATAAATTGATTATTCACTATATGGTTCTCAGATTTTATTGAGATGCTACAGATGTAATAAATATGGTCATTTTGCGAGAGATTGTATGGAGAGTGAAGATTTGGGTCCGCAATGCTATAAATGCCAGGGTTATGGCCATATAGCAAGTCGATGCAATGTGGAGGCGTGAATGAAGTTCACGTGTGATGATGCCCAAAGTCGTAGTGCCCCGGTACACTTTCGTCCTGCACTCACAACAAGGTGAATGCATTAAAGTGATATATATATATATATATATATATATATTCATCGACTCAGTTTGCTATGTTCGGTTCGTCGTCGGTAGGCTCATCACTTTAGTGACCTGATATCTGATTCCAATTTGATTGTTTCTCATTGCTATTGAAATATACATATCGTCAAACCTCGTATATAATCATCGACTTAACTAGCATTGGTGAAGAACGGAATTAAATAAGTTAAGTATGAGAATTAATTTTGAATACGTATATTCCATTCAATCGTTGATCTAGACAAACGAGCACAGAAACGATGCGCGATCGAGAAGGCATGTAAGCCAGATCAAGTTAACCAAGCGTGAATCGAATAGTCGAATAGAAATAAGTTACAAACATGAGATGAATAGGATAATAAGTGCACACACATACATGGTCATATAAAAACAGTCAAGGACGAGAAGTGAATAATTGACAATGTCGAAATGTGACTCAAAAAGAATGAATAAATCGATCTATCCGAAGGCTAGAATAAGTTATGTCGGTTTAACATAGCATTCGACACTACAGTATTGTACTCCGAAACCGTTCAGAATCAAAAAAGATTGTAGCTTATAGTAAAATTAACTAGGATACTAAGATGGTGGTTACAGTTAGTCGACAGGTCCTTCTTAATGCAGATCAAATCCTATCGACTAACTGGAATATTAACTTAATGAATACATTTGAATCAAATACTTTCATTTAAATTACTTAGAATTGATAAAAT